GGAGGCACGTTAACAACATCTCCACAGTGATTCTAGGTGAGTCACTTTTGCCATGGCTCATGAAGTCAGTCCCAGATGGACTCCCAGCTCGGGTTTGCATAAATCTTGGGTGGTGGAGCAGAGCTGGAAGGTCTGTTACCAAGCGGCTGTTGTGGGTTAACTAATGGAATTGCTACATTTGCCTGCTACAATTTGAACAAGCAAAAACGTTAACAACATCTCCACAGTGATTCTAGGTGAGTCACTTTTGCCATGGCTCATGAAGTCAGTCCCAGATGGACTCCCAGCTCGGGTTTGCATAAATCTTGGGTGGTGGAGCAGAGCTGGAAGGTCTGTTACCAAGCGGCTGTTGTGGGTTAACTAATGGAATTGCTACATTTGCCTGCTACAATTTGAACAAGCAAAAGAAGTGTGTGGGAGGGGTCTTTAACCAGCAGGGAAGTGAATAAGCAGGAACCTATGCACTGAAAGGCAAGCAATTGCACCTGGGGATACTGTTCCTCATTAGCCCAGCATGCCCCTCCAATTAGAACTGCGCTACACTCTTTGCAGTACAGCTGGTGGGGGACCTGGGGAAAGAGACTGTACTTCTGAATCTAGCTAAAATGCTGTAGCCTACAATTACTGGTCTCATGATGGTTTTATCTCTTGCCTATACAAAGATCAGATGTTTATGAAGCACAGCCACACGTATGGAAATTTCCTAGGAAGCATCATAAGAGCACAAGTGCACCTGAAAGAGTCAATGGGACGTATGCTCCTAAATCACTTACACACTTGTCTCCGGGTGGGCTTTCAAGAGCTCTTCTGAAAGAGGAAAGTCACAGTTTGAATGGTTTCCTGCAGTTATTTCTCATTGTTTAGCTGGGATTTGGCTAGCCATTGGAGGAACATTGTGGAGAACAAAACAGTTGAGCCATCGATATAAAGTCTGACTTGTTCTGGAATCTACTGTATTAGACACACAATAGCCAGCTGCAGTATCAAGCCAGAGTCACGTTTACAGTAACGAAAGCCAGAGTATTTTGCAGACAGATGAGCACGTGTCAGGTTCTTGTTTTCCTTGTCCCATTCAGGGGAAGAGGAGAACACCTGGGAAGCTACTGGAGAGTAGGGGAAAGAGCAGTAGCGATGCTGCCCCAATTAACACTTTTGTACTAGGTAGGGGCCAGTTACTGGATCAACTCTAGCATCATGTTTTTGGACATCTTAAGGTCTCCCACTGGAGACACCTGTTCTCAAGTCGCTCCTTCTGGAAATCTCTGGCATCTCTTGCCTGCAGCTGGGCTTTGACCAGAAGTGAACCTCAGAGCCCAAGCATTTGATCAGAATCCTCTTTTCCATTAAACAATAGGATTTTCCAGAATCTCTCCCCGCCCCCCAGATCTGCCAACCATTCCTCCACTCTGGATCCTATCCACATACTTCCAGGTCTACTGAGCAAAACACACATGGCAGGGTCACTACCGCCGCACTCTCTCATCCATCCACTGGGAGACAAAGGGATGCAATAAAAAAGAAGCGATGCTGCTGAAGCAGAGAGGAGAAAGCTAGCAGAACGCGGGGGAAGCAACCACTTCCACCCACATGGATAGCTTTGACAGTTCTCTAGTGAGAAGAGCCGCCGTGTTAATGGCAACTCACAGAAAAGATTTCCATACGGCCTGATGATCAGCCCCCATTGACACCCAATTCAAAGCGGCATTCCCAAGTTTCTCCTCCTGGGGAACTGGCTTGTCCGCCATTTCCACGGTGCGTCTGGATTCTGGGATTTCCCAGAGAGACCCTGGCAACATTTTGGGACTCTCTTCATGCCTCCTGTGCACCCAGTTCGAAAGGTGGCATTCCCACCGCTCCACTGCAAGTAGCTTGCATGCTCTCAGATGAGGCTGCAGGGAAGGGCAATGTTTCAGCCCTGCTTAGAGAACAGATGCATTTCACACACACAGCTGGACTTGCTGTGGTTGACCTGGCCTCTAATGGAAGGAACTCCAGTCCCAATATTTAATCTTTTCCCAGCATCCTTTGCTGTTCTGACTCAAGACCATCAATGCTGGTAGCCTGGGCCCCAAGTTACACAGTTCCTTACAGAGTGCAGCCGCTTCTGGAGCTCAGCTCCCCAGATGGCCACCAGCAGCACCTGCACATCAGCCTCAGGCCAGCTGGCAGCAGGGTTCTAGGGAAGCATGCTTGACATGCTAGCAGATGAACCAAGGCAAAGTTGATCATGGGCCAGACAGCATTCACCATGGCACTCAGTTGTGTGTCGTGCCAAGTGCACAGCTGAGTGAAGCTCAGCGTGGAACTGACAGGTGGCGACTGGTGCACTGAGCTACCGCACCCCCAGGGCTGTTCCGCCGGCACCACCTGTTCACAGACACAGCATTGGTGGAGAAGGGATGAATGGGAGCTGTACAGCCTTCCAACAATCCAGGAGACACACAGCAATTCCTAATGGTGCACAAGGCCTGGATACAATGGGTGTGACCAGCATGACACTGCCAGCATCAACCCAGAGAACAGCCAGGCCAGGGTGAGCTCTTCACTAGCACCCATCAAAGACCTGAGCTAAGTCCACTTTCTCAATGTGTGCAAGTCTCAGCACGGAAGCCAGGTAAATGTGCATCTGTAAAAACAAGGAGTCCTGTGGCACCTTACAGAGAGGGACGTTAAAATTAGGTTATTTTACTACTAAATTAGTCAACAGGGGAAGGCAACCGGCTCCTGTCCCCGTCTCGCACCGGGACCGAACCCTGCTGCAGCTCTGCAATATAAAAGGCAGTAGGAGCAGGACTGTCTGCCCCCCAGCTCCTACTGCATTTTAATATCAGAGCCACAGCAGGTTTGGTCCCAGCGCGAGCCAGGTCTGAGCCAGGCTGCCTGACCAGCCAGCAACAGCCCCAGTCCATGGGGAGGTCCTAGTTCCCCATTGGACACTCCCCACCCTCCCCCATCAAGGGGGCTTTACAGCAGCAGGCCCTGTCCGCTGTGGATCCCATAAGAGAGTTGGGCTCCCCCCCACAGACAGGGGCTGCTGCTGGAGCAGCCTCCCCTGTCCCCACCCCACTTCTGACTCCGATAGAGGGAGCAGTGGGGGAGGGAGGTTGAGAAAGGCAGGCAACATCACAGAGCCAGTGCTGGGGGAGGGGGCATCTTTTAAGCTGCTTCCCCCAACACCAACTCCTACTCCCCCCCCCCTTGCTGCCTCTGACAGAGGCAGTAAGGGGGTGGGGAATACAAGTAGTCAACTCAATTACCCAATAAGACGAGGCTTATCGAGTAGTTGACTACTGTCTTACATCCCTACTTAAACACAAAGATTTATTTGGGCATAAGCTTTCATGGGTCAAAACCACTTCTGTCAGCTGCATGGAAGGCAAATAAATGACTCAAGCCAGGCATTTCCCACCACGCAGCTGACAAAAGCTGTTTTGACCCACAGAAGTTTATACCCAAATAAATGCGTTGTCCTGTTGTACCTTAAGACTTCTATAAATGTATTAATTAGCTAGGGCCAGTCTTTGAGGTTAGAAATATTTGGGGCCTCATTTTCAGGGACCCAACAGCACCAAATGGAGCTGTGGACACTTCTGAAAGCCCTTTGCTCAAAAAGAGGTTTTAAAAGCCATTTTGTAAGACCCACACGAGTTCAGAGCTTAGCATTTCATCTACTGAATTCCACATCTAAATGCAAAGCACACGTCTTCAGTATCGCCTTCTCTAACCTAACCCGGTTACCCCACAGACAGACAGACACAATGTCATGGGTACATTAAAAAAAACCAAACCAAAGACATCCTACAAAAATTCTCTGAACAAATACATGCAGGTTGCAACTGGAGAGTGGAGGAAAAAACAAACACATCCGTCATGTTGCTTAATACACAACTGGAAGATACTCCGATACCATGGTGCCCAGCAAAGAGTAAGAACGGATGTAAAAACGGATTAGAAACGTTTAGTATCAGGCTTAGGCAGACATGCTAATGATAGCTTCACGTTCCTGTCAAGCCCAAGCAGAAGGGAAGAGACTTTGAAAGGATAACACCGCGAAGGGGGAACAATGTTTTCAAGCTTTTATAACAACCATAAGGCAAGAGAAGTTAGAAATGGGAGTCAGAAATAGAAGCCAAACACACACACAGTCTGTTTT